TCATTTTTCAACATTTTTTCAATCCGTTTTTTCCAGTGCATTCTACACGCCAATGTGAATCTTTATTAGGGCGCTAAAGTTATTTGCCGATTTTACTTTTGATGATATGAAAAAAAGAAAAAATATTTTTGGGCAAAACGGCTTTTTTTCAGCCAATTATTAAGTCCCCCTGCCTTCAATAATCATTTTACACACTTGCTATATCTCTTAAAATCACTTGCATTTGTTCTTCCGATTCCGACGATACCTTTGAATTTTCTCTATCACGTCTACAGCCTGTGCTATGACCTCAACCATTTTTTCATGCAATTTTCTCCATTTTCTCGGATAAATTTAAATTGAAAGTTGAAATATTGGCAGAAAATCCACGAAATGAAGAAAATAATTCTATTTCTCGAATACTATGTAAAACTATAAGAATAGTTTTGCTTCGCAAAACATATCCTTTTATAGTTTTCCTTGATTACATTCTTGAGTTAAACCAGCTTTTTACCATGTCTCGTTTTTTTAATTCTAGTCCAAAATTTGAATTGCGTTTCACTGGTCCGGATCAGAATAAATCCTGAGCACTGATATATTTAGATAACCCGACATATAGAGAGAGCTCGTGTTCCCCTGGGTTTATCCTGGGATAATGATCAGCTGGTTAACCTAGACAGCTGTAATAGTTCACCTAGCCTCGTCAGAGGGAAGCTTCCGGTCAAATCCCTCCTCAAGAGAACACAGGTAAACCAACCACAGCTCAGGAGCCAAGGAACAGGGAGTAGTGGAACTAAGTAAATCTAGTTCAACTACTTTTCTGATGTACCGTCTGTCAAGACTAAAGTGAAACAAAATGTAACTGTTGAAGCTACTTCCATAGTTTCTATCCTCGAACACACTAGAGTAGTAGTTTTCCTAGCTGTATCAAGTGAAACCACTTTTACCTTTTTTATTATATTGTTTTCTTAATAGCAATTCTGGTTTCTACTCTTGTTAAAATAATTGTTTTCATTAAGAGGAATTCTAGTTTGTTTAATTGTTTCATTAAGAGGAACTCTAATTGATATAATTATTTATATCAAATTTTGGTTTATATTATTGTTTATATTGAGAGCAACTTTGGTTTCTTTGATTGTTTTTTTTAGGTGGAACTCTGGTTAATATTATTGTATATATTAAGAGTAACTCTGGTTAATATTATTGTATATATTAAGGGGAACTCTCGTTAATATTATTGTATATATTAAGAGGAACTCTGGTTAATATTATTGTATATATTAAGAGGAACTCTGGTTAATATCTTTGTATATATTAAGAGGAACTCTGGTTAATATTATTGTTTATATTAAGAGGAACTTTTGTTAATATCATGGTATATATTAAGAGGAACTCTGGTTAATATCATTGTATATATTAAGAGGAACTCTGGTTAATATCATTGTATATATTAAGAGGAACTCTGGTATTATTATTGTATATATTAAGAGAAACTTTGGTTAATATTATGGTATATATTAAGAGGAACTCTTGTAATATTATTGTATATATTAAGAGGAACTCTGGTTAATATTATTGTATATATTAAGAGGAACTCTGGTTAAAATTATTTTATATATTAAGAGGAACTCTGGTTAATATTATTTTATATATTAAAAGGAACTCTGGTAATATTATTTTATATATTAAGAGGAACTCTGGTTTGTTTGATGAGTCTATGCTTGATGTGTCCCTGCACCAAACTGAAGTTATCAGGAAGATCACTGGCAAGGGGAAACAAAAACAGAAGCAGAAAAAGAAGTAAAGAAGTAGAAGAAGAAGAATATATATTCTGTTTTAATGGGGTGCGGAAGATTTTAAAGATTAATTCCCACTATTAACCTATTATTTCCTTATTTTAAGAAATGAAAACCTTTTTTATTCCAAAAAGGTTTACAGGCAGGTAAAAAAGCTTAAAATATTGTAGTCTACTGAAGCCATAAACTAAAGTGCTTGATATTATAGATCTATGTTTTGGTTGACAACACAAGCTTAAAGTTTACCAATCCTCTCCTGTATTATCAGATCAACGTGTTCTAAATAATTTTCTATTTTTTTTAAGTGACTGTAGAGTTTGGACTTAATTTTACTTGATCCTCATTTAAATAGTTACATGTCTGATTTTCTACGGTACTACTAAATCTTCTCAGCTTCATTGAGGAAGATATTTTCGTTTTTCTTTGTCAAATTGTGTCGAATTTTGACATTGAGAAACTTCAAATTAAGAATAATCAATTTGCAGAGAGAAGAATTTAGATTGGACAAAGATTTAATGGGTACCATTGTGAATAAGCAAAAGTCTGCCCTCTAACCAGGATTGAATACTGGGTACTATTGACTCCTATATTAATATTTATACTTATAAAAAATTAGACTTGCCACTTGTAAAATGGAGGTTCACTTGAAATTACGAATCCCGTAAATGTTTGTAAAAAAATATCAATGTTAATTAAGATATTTTTTATTTTTGATATTCAAATATTATATTATTGATAATATTATATTATTAATATTCAAATACTATAATATTGGGAAGTGTATGTATATAGTCACACTGTGCTACTAATTTTTCGTGTAATGAACTATTAACCGATTCCAATATTATTTGATAACGATGTACCTTTGTATTTTTTATAAATTGGTATTTGAAAACCAATTATCTATTTAGAAAACATAAACTCGCTTTTCTTGGAAATGTTAATTTTTTAAGATTTTTCGACTTTTAAATATCGTACGGACATTTTATTAATGTAGAATCAAAATTTTATGTAATGAAGTAAACTTGTGTAAAAAATGTTTAAGCATCCAGGACTAAATAATTTGGGGTATATTTTGAAGAAAACTCTCCAGTATTACAGAAAGTTTACTCTTTTTTCATGGGAGGGATTTTTTCTTCAAAACTTGCATCCCTAAAAAAGTTTCATGATAATTTTCATCTGTTGTCAAATTTTCGACAAATATTTGATTGATTTTTAATTGTTTTCTGAATAGCAGATAAATATATTTATAAGGTTCAGCTGATTATTTAACATGTGGCCTTATTTCAGAGAATGGTCGACCAAGTTGATTTAATTTTAATGTTAAAAGGATACCATTGAGAATGAAATGTTCGAGAAGCTGGTAAAGAGCTCAGTTCTGAGGGGAGAGTATTTGGCATTATCCACTTCTGCCATATTTTCATCTTTATATGCGAGACAATTATAGAAAACTTGGCTTAAAAAGTAGAAACGTTTATTAGCTTTTAAATGTTACTTTATAAGCTGCCACTCTAAGTAATCATGACAAGAAATTTCATGGGATGTTTTGTTAACATTTTTAATTATGTGAAACATAGACAATTTTTCTCTGCATTTTTTTTTCAATTTTGGTTAGCTATTTACGTACCTTTCCTGAATTTGTAATAAAATGTTGTTGAACTGAAGTATTGGACGGTTTTACACATTTAAAATAAAATATAAAATACGCATTTAAGCAAGCTGCCAACTTTTTACGAATTCACAAAAAAAAAATTCGCTAATATTTCTGTTTACGAGGAAAGATTCTGATAAATATTAAATCTTGAATTTTAGGTGAAATTTTAAAATTTTCCATTAAAAAATAACAGGCAGTCAGCTGTTCACGTACTGAAATTATGCTTAAGCCTATAGTAATTAAGTTTTAGGCTTTTAAGCAGTGGTTAGGATCCGGACCCTCAAGACTGGCTCCCTGGATGCGGATCTGAATATCCACTAAAATCTGCAAAAAAAATCTTTTTTACTCTCAAACTCTAAAATTAAACTTCTGAAAAGAAAAGATTATACAAATTTTCTGATTCCTAAATGGTTCAATATGGTTTAGCATAAAAATAAGCGAAAAAAATTTGAAAGTTCTGCTTTGTCAAAAAAAATCAGTATATCTTAAAATTATGATTTGGATCGATTTTTTTTCTAGTGCGTATCCGGAAGCGCATTAAAATTAAATTGATCTTAAGCACTGCTTAAGAGTTTTACCTGCCTTTTTCCTAAGCTATTTCAAGCGGCCATGAAGAGAATTTGATAAAATATATTTAATGTTTGTTATTCCAATAATTTGTATTCAGTCCTAATCAACTTGAATAATAAAATAGCTTTTTAACAACATCTCACGAATATTCGGTATTTATTAGGAATTGGTAAATACTTGTACTTGAGGCAGTCGATACTTTATGTTTACGTTGTCCAATAAGGAGTAAACCCTAACAAAAGATATCGATCATTTAAACACGTAAATGATGATTAATGGCTTTTTAAAGACGTAATTTATTGAACTTCATTAGTAAATTCTATATTGGGTTCAAACTTGTGCTTTAAACAATATTGAATTACTGTCAAAGACCAGACTATTTGANTCCTCCCGTCAGCCTCGCCTTCTAAAAGGTTAAAGTTTACAAAGTAAGGATTGTAAAATCAAAACTATTATTTTAGGATAAACTACAGCCTGAAAGAAGAAGGCTAAACCAGTGGATCCACTCAAGAACTATATATGCTGGATGATTTAAATAACCGAGAACATTCCCTTTAATCCTGTGTACCGTAAATACGGTACTATGTTTCTTTATACTTTTTTAGATTCTTTTTATTCGATCGTTTCTGGGGATTGCTAATATATTTTCCGAATCTAGATTTTTCTATCTCAGTGAGAGAGACTCAAAGTTTACTAACAAGGTTTATTGTTACTTCATACTTCATGTACATCCAGTTATATACTGTTGCAAAATACAAAGTTTATATAGTTGTATACATTAAGAGGAACTCTGGTTTGTTTGATGAGTCTATGCTTGATGTGTCCCTGCACCAAACTGAAGTTATTTTCGTGGCAAATAATGATCGTCATGTTGCAGATGATCATGGGAGATCAAGATCAGTAAAGACTTTCTCCCTATTCCTATCTCAAGAAGTGATCTGTTAAATCACATGAGATTCAAGGTACGAGACAGTTATTAAAACTTTGTTCGGAGATCATATAAAGCATTAGATTTATCAATTGTATTGTAGTTGTTTGATCCAGTTGTTGTAATCTAGAACGGATTAGGAATACCTTAGGATTCATGTATATATTTATATATAGACATATATATTTAGAACATGCTGCCAGCGCTCTATATAATGAATCAAAGCAAAAAGAAACGGCAGTGCACAAAGAACCTTAATAGTAGAAAGACTTATATACGAATATAATCTTCTACCTTAGGTAAGTGCAGCTCCCAAGTTATATTGATTCATAACTCAGACTATTAGCATAATATAGCCTGATAAATACATTCAACTATCAATAGCTAGTTATAGATATTTATATTTATATATACAAGCAAGGATACATATAATTTTGCATAGCTAAACTAAATACATAGCTTCGCAGAATGAATACTTCAGCAGAGCTGATAGATCCGCAAAGTTAATAGCTCCGCAAAGCTAAATAAGGAAGCTCTATAACGCTAGGCAAGACCAATAGCTTAGTGAAAGTTATATATATATATATAACCAATCTTGGATAGTTCCTAATTGTACTAATAGCTAAGTAACAAACATACCATAAAGTTACTAAAGCTTTCTTATAGGTGAAGATGTCTGAATTCTTCAAGTACATCGAACATTGTCCAAACATGGCTGGACCCCTTCTGGATGATGTATTGGAAGGAGACAGTGAAGGCGAATTAGAGTTAGGGACACTGTTCATCTCTGATAGCTCCACTGAGATAGTAACTGCATCCATAGAGATAGTCACAGTTCCACCCTCAGACGATGAACCTGAGGAATTGGAAACAGATGTTCCCGCCCTCACTGCTGCAGAGGTGTCCGAGAGCTCCGGAGATGAGGAAGAGTATGGAGCAGATGATGAGAGAGATAAACTGGATGGAATAGAAGCAGAGGAGAGGAAGTCCCAGCAGGGGGATGACGAAGAGGTTCCTAATCTGGAAGATGCCGGAAAAGAAGAAGAGGAGTTCACCAGAATGTGGAGAGAACTGGGCCTGCAACCAGACAGGGGACAGGTGGACTTGGTGAAGGAGAATAGGCAGAAGGTGCGGGGCCGGATTGATGCTATATGGCAGGAGTTACGCCTAGTAATAATGGAAGCATTTGAGAACAATGGCGGAATGCTCTACAGCGAGGAGGAACCTCAGCTCAAGGAGGAATTGGCGCTTGTCACCAATATGTCTCTCATCTTGGAGCAGCGGCTGGAGCTGTTACAACTCCTAGCCATGGAAGTCGAGTTCAGTCCAGAATATTAATATCCTAAATATATAATATGGAATCAGTAAACTTAGATTAATAAATATAAACTAAGAGAGTTAATTATTGTGTTTGAAATTCTGCTGTTGACCAAATAAAGCTCGGGGTTTACAACACAGTTGATCATTAAGATTGATCAGTATAACCTGCAGTTCTTGAGGCTCCAAAAGAGGATAGGGTTGTCTGACAAGCACAAGCAGGTCAATAAATAGAAATTGGGATGTAGTCATTTGAAGAGGATATTTGATGTTGAAACGTGATTTCAACTGATTGATCTTCAGATGTGGAACAGGACTGATGCAAGAATATCTTTACCAGAGCTTCTTATCTACAGTTTGATCCTACATCTTAAATTCACCCATCTCCACTCCCAGTCAGCTCTTTAACAAAGATCTTATAGTGATCTAGAGGGATCTCACGGTGATCTACAGCACATAGCTAGTCTAGAAATTGTCTAGGTATTGTTTAAATCTAGCAGATCATGAACTTGTGAGTAAAGTACTATCAGAGATCAATTGTAGTGTCAAACTGGATTAAGACATTAAGTTCTCCACTATGATTGGCAACGTAACTAGTGGAAGCAACACACCACATTCATTGTTGATTGGTTTCAAGAACATGGAAAAGGAAAATGAAGTTCTAGAAAATGAGAACTTGTCCAAACAAACCTGAGAACTTTATCAGTGTGGTTTCTCTGTAGTTTGTTACAGAGAAAAGTTGAGGATAAACTAAAGGTTGAAGCTGAGAAGAGGAACAAGGATATGAGTAAGAAGGATATTATATTGTGGGAGTGGAAGGTTGTGGGTATGAAGTGAGAAAAAAGGCTTGCAAAAACCAGGAAAATTCTAGAAACAGAGCACAACCGTCTCAGGGTCTAGGTCAAATGCGCGGTCGCAGACAAGGTTGGGGAATTTGGAACTTACAAACAACCCTAATATAGTGTTCAGTGTTGAGGATGCTGGACTAATTGGAAAAAGTGACCATAATATGATTTTAGATGAACTAAACTGCACACCCATGAAGAAGGAAAACTTACAGGAGATTCCTAATTTGCTAAAAGCAGACTACAGAGGAATAAACAACTCACTTAGAAAATATCTTTTGAGAGTGATTTTTTTAAAGTATAATACAGAAGAAGCATGGGGACTGCTCAAGACAAGGCTAGAAGACAGTGTGGTGCTTCATGTACTGAAAATTAGAAGAAGGGTCAACAATAAACCAATCTGGTTGGATAAAAAAACACAAGCAACAGTGAGAAGAAAGTTCAGACTTTACAAACGGCTAAAAGAAACCATACCCCAACAGCAGAAGAAAACTAGAAGAAACAGGAGAAATAAGCAGTTTAACTCTTACATCAGGATAAAAGCTAAGTATAGATCAACTATTGGCCCATTATTAGATAGATGACAAGGGGCTGAACTTCTCAATGACATTTTTGCCGGTGTTTTTACCATTGACAGACCAGCTCAGGTACCTTTAGTGGAAAAGAATAGAGATGAACTTATCAAAGATGTTGTCATAACAAAGGAAGATATTGTAAAAATATTAAAAAGTTGAACCCATCCTTTGCTCCAGGTACTGAGGACTAGGGCCACGCATGTTCCGATTTTTTTGAAAGCGTTCCCAACTAGGTCTTCCAAATTTTAGTTCAATCTCTTACGCGAAAATTTTTCAGCCAACAAATATATTATTATATTATTATTTAAACTTTTGCAAGATTTGTTCAAAATTTTGACAAAAATTTGTACAAATTTTTTACCATTCTCACAAAATCTTATTTTTTTTGGCAAAAATACAATCTTTTTGATGCTCACTGGAAAAATTTTGATTTTTAACGAACAAAAATTGAACACAAATTTTGCAAAAAGAATTTTTTTTTTAAATGGATTCGAAAATCTCGTCGAAAATACATCAAAATTCTCGACAATTTTGAACAAAATCAACAAATTTTGAACAAAATCAACAAATTTTGTTCATTCATTTTCGAAACTTTCGTTCAATGAGAATTTTGATGGAAACTAGGGTTTCCAGCAAAAAAATAAAAATCATTTAACGAAAATTATTTTTTTTTCGCGACCATTTTGCTTCATTTTTGCGGAACAGAAAATGCTTCCGACAATCTCATAAATTTAAGTCAGGTTGGTTTTTGTCCGATAAATCTTGTGTTACAAATCTCCTGGTGTTTTTGGAGACTGTGACAGACTTTGTAGACAAGGGATTAAATCTAGACGTTATTTATTTTGCCTTTTTCATGGCTTTTGATACTGTACCCTATCTGAGATTAATTAAAAAAATCAGGGCTCATTCTATGGGTGGGAAAATTTTGAAATGGATTGAAAACTGGTGACAACACAGAACACAAAGAGTAGCACTCAAGGGATATTCATCAACATGGAAGGAGTTGCTATTTGGGGTACCTCAGGGTAGCATGTTGGGTCCTCTTCTGTTTGAGATATTCATCAATGATATTGATAAAGCTGTAGAGTGTGTCACAATCATTAAGAAGTTTGTTGACTAGCAAAAGGGCACATAGTTGTTAATCCCACCGACTCGGAAACCCTTCAAACAGCTCTCAATAGCCTGTTCAGTTGGGCAGATCTATGAGAGATGAGATTAAACACTGATAAATGATGCAAGGTTACTATGTGGGACTCATGAACAACCAGGTCCTATCGTAAACAGAAAAAGAAAGAGATATTGGAGTTATAATCCATAAATCTCTTCAGCCATCCCACCAGTGTAAGGAGGCAGTCAGAAAAGCAAATGGTATTTTGACTCAAATTGCAAGCTTCATTCATTACAGAGACAGAAAAACCTTCTTAAACCTGTAAACAACTTATGTTAGACCCCTTATTGAATGTTCAACGCCAGCATGGAACCCATGGCTTCAACAGCATCAAGAAGTGCTAGAAAATGTACAAAAAGGGCTGTTACCATGATCTTCTGACTACACAGCAATAATAATTATGAAGACAGTTTAAAAAACTTTGAATACTTAGTCTGAAGGACAGGCGGATTCAGTGTGACATGGTCCAGACTTTCAAAATTGTACACAAGATTGATAGGGTAGATGGAAGAGTTTGGTTTGAGTTTGTGGAAGACAGAGGAGAAGAGTAACACGGCTTTCTGAAGACCCCTTCAACATTAAAAGTTAAGTATCCAATACAGAGTTGAGAAGAAGATTTTTCTCTAATCGTGTAGTTCAACAATGGAATTACCTGCCAAAAGAAATAAAATTACCAAATCGGTTGATTTCTAAAAGCCAATACATAGTGGAAACTCTGCCAGTCTGAGGATTAAAAAGAAGGAATCTGAATAAAAAAATAAATGTACCCTACTGCAAGTTTTGAAAGATGTATCTACATTCTACAATGTCCCTGTCAGTGGGGTGCTTGATTCAAGACTTTACGTAAAACAAGTATGTAAGTTAAATAGATGATAGGGTTTTTATTCGCAATACGAGCAAAACTTGATATATAGGTATAAATTCAAGTTCAAAACTTGTCCTGTTGCATGTTATTACAAAAAATCTAATTGGCAGCCAAATAATTTTTTGTACAAAAATTTTGTTTAACTACTTCTAGTCCTTGCTTTGTAAATTGGCCCCTAAAACTGTAATTTGGAAATTTTACCAACCCAAATAATTATGTAAGGCCCAACTCATCATCTTTATTTTGTCTATATTTTTTAAATTCGAGTTGTGCTCCCTTAAGCTTAGGTTTGTTATAGTTACGGGATATTTGTCAAGTGCGCAGTAAATATTCTTTTATATCATTTATGACAAATTAGTTTATTGGAAAAAATTTCAATAGACCTACCGAAGTGCTCATTAGTTGATCATAGACCTTTCTTTCTCACTCAAACCATGCCACTCACAATATGAACACATGATATTCATATATTCCTGTTTAATTCATTGAACTTTCATTACAATATAAGTTTCTTGGAAGTTCATTTAACTGTTTTGAAAATTAAATGCCTTTTTAAAAGTCAAAAAAGTAAATCCAGAAAAATTATGTATAAGCTTTCAATCATTCAGATGTTTGTCATATGAGTTTTAGGAATTTTAACTGTTAATATATTTTTCTTTAATTAAAAATAATCGTTTTGTGCATTTCAGTGAATAAAGCAGAATGGCATCAAAAAAGGAAAAGTTTAAAAAATGTGTTTGGTACGCCGTCTTCATCGCATTATTAGTAATCACCATAACTCAGCTGATGCAGAGTTTTGATAGCTGGGAGGAGAGACCCTTTGATACTATAGTGGACAAAGTTCCTAAACAGAATATCCCATATCCAAGTGTTACTGTTTGCCCAGCAGGTAGGATGATTCCTATTTCTTCTGCCCCTACCTCTCCCCCCCCCCCAACATTTTTGACATAACTGCACTTTACTAATGGCTAAAAGCTGTTTTTTAATACTAAATCCCTAACTTCCTGAAGACATATTGCCTGAATGCCTTTTTAGTACTTTGTCAGCCCATATGTAAAGAAATTATCAAAATTAAAATTAGAAAAACTAGTATTTTTCACATTTTTGAGAAGATTAAAGTTTCAAGGGTACTGTAAATCTGGCACTGCATGGAGGGTTACTAAAAAATAAGCTTTCAGCTTAAAGAGTGAAATTTTAGCGGTTGATGTGAACAAGGGAATATGAACAATCCTTGATATAAAAGGCTAAGGCTGCAAAATGCAGTTTAAACAAAGATTTTTTACCTCTAAACTATTCAAAGCGGAAAGAAAATTTTCCAATTAAAGATATGATAAAATTGACAAGGAAAGTGAAATTCTTCCGTATCAATATTTTTCCTCCTTTTTGTAAGTAAATACTTGCTATATATGGTAAATGATGATTAAAATTAAATGCGATTTTTTTAAATTTGGTTAATTTTTGCTTTTGAATCTTGGTTCTACAGTGATATTCACAAGGAAACAAAATGTATCGACAATTAGTCAGACTTCTTGACAATACTCTTTGAGCTTTGAAACAGTTTGCAGCTTTAATTTGTCAACCTAATATGATCTAAGAAACCATAATTATTTACATAATAGCCCAAGGCCTGAAATTATCAAGTTTGGTCTGCCTTTTTTGTGCTCTAAAATCACCAGAGATATAATTGTGATTATACAAACTGCATATTTGCCTGAATCAGAAAGGTACCATATTAGAGGATTGTGGTTCTCAAGCACTATTTAAACGTATGACCTTCAAAAGTAAGTAAGGAAAAAACTGTCAATAGAGAATATTTGGTTTTTGTTCTAGGTTCAACTATTTGGTCCGGAGTACGACAATTTCTAAATGAAATGGAATTCAAGGATGAATACAAAGACATGCTGAAACAATCCTACAATACACTTTTAAGGTGACATGACAGCCTGAATAAATACAGATCAGTTCAAAATAATATTGTTAAAAATTTCATTACAGAATGCTATTTTCTAAAGAATACATGTTTTCAAGTTTCTTTAAAACAATTTGCAAAAGGTTTTTAATGAATAAAACGTAATAGAATGATTGACAATTATGTAATAAATGTTGTATTGTTGGAAAGGTTGAAAATTGCAAACTTAAGACTTAAGCCTGGTGAACTTGATCCATTTATTTATACCTACCAAGAATGTTACGACTGGACTGAATATCTAAAGAACAGGTTCAATATAATATTAATTTTTATTTAAATATTTGAATCATTTTTTAAGATTGCATGGTCTTTGGTCTTTCGTCAAAAAAAATATTCATCATGATGAGTCACATTCTGCTTTTTCTAAACTTAAAGATGAACAGAACCTAAAAATAGATCTAAATCCAGTTTATGAATATATTTTCAGTTCAGAAAAAAAAATTTTTTGTTTTTTTAACAAAAACTTAGTTAACTATTTAATAGTTAGAAAAGATTTAATCATATCAGTATTTTTTAATTTTTAGTTTTTCCAAACTTGTCAATTTGGAAATTGTTAAAACTTTTTGATTTTTGTGGTATTTCCAGTTTGAAAATAGATATGGAAATATTATGAATTTATATAATAAATAACACAATTTTTAGCCACTCAGTATAGATTTCAGTTTTCATATTTTCTTACTTTAAACCTTTAAGGAGAATGTTCATCATGGAACTGAAAATATGATTAGTTCAAATCTATTTAGCCAAAACTGGAATCTCTATTTTACTGCCCAATTTTGTGACAGAAACTCAGATTTTAGTTCCTTTAATTTCTTACATTGCATTTGCATAACAGAAAGTGACTTAACACCCAATTTTACATTACACTAATGAATATAAAGGAAAAATTATCTTCCAACATTTTAACTTGGTCCATCTTCTATTAATCAATAATGTCTACAGTGTGTTAATTTTTATTCAAATTTTAATTCAATTTTGAATTGTGACTTTTGCAGAGAGTTCTGCAACTTTGCAATGTATGTGCTAGAAATGACTAGTAGAATGATCAGTGAGGATATTTTTACCAACAGAACACTAGCTAAATATCAGAAGAACAGACTAAATGTCCGCTTTGAAGAAATAGAGGGTCCAGGCTGCTTTGGTCCAGGGTTTGCTTGCAACTTAAACCTGAACTCTGTTGTTAAGCAGCCTGCTTATAGCAGGCTACCCAGTTACCTAGATCTTCTTACGGTGGAAATGGTTGAAAGTGGTATAACTGAGAATCCATTTGACATAGTTCTTCAGGTTTCTATATTCTACATTTTTACACTGTTACTATCATATTATTATAGATTTATAATCTTTTTTGATCACCCATTAAAAGTATGTTTTTTAAGAAATGGATTTTAAAATAAATTTCAAGAAAACCCTCCCAGTCTGATCAATTCTTGTAAAAAAGTTAAACATGAAAAGGGTCTTTTTATCTTAATATGGGTCTTGCATTAATACATGCATTGTAACCTGCACTTTAATTCTAAGTTGAAACAGAATGATAATCATTTAACTGTTAGGAAATGTATCTGCCTCCTCCTATCACAACCCCAGAACCAGTAACTGAGACAACTGAGTGTGTATATTGTTTATTCAAACGTGAGATATCAAGTACTCTGGATAATCCATCTTGGGAAGATGTCAGAAAACTAAACTCTACCTTTAGTTTACCTCCACCGAAAAATATTATGGTATCTTATCTACATACATATATTAAGTTGTAATCTCAGTTTGGGTGTTTGTTTGTTTGTTTGTCTGATCATAACTCAGGAACCCCTGGACTGATTTGCCTCAAATTTTGATTGGGGAACTTGGGAGACCCACAGGAATTTTTCTTGCTTGGTTTTGAGATTATAAGTTAAATGGGTCGACTTTAATAGCGAAATTTATTTTCCCGGTAAAATTGTTCAAGTAAGGGTAAACTTTGGAGTAACTTTTAGAACCTGGGTACCTCTAGGTTTCTAAGCTAGTTCATTATATGATTAAATCAATGTTATTGAATATATTTCTAAAGCAATATTTTTAGAAATATGTTATCTCAACTTGTTGCAGCCCATGGATAACTCTGTCTCAGATGTACCATGAATACTCAATGCTTTCCAAGCTACAGTTTCAGAACTTCAAGAATCTTGGAGATTTTATTGTTACCATGGCAAAACAAGCATTATATGATGAAAGCATTTCTAATTATCTGACACAAGGATTGATTGAAAACACAGAAAAAGAATTGCAAGATTTCTTGTGATTTATCCTACAAGAAATTACTGAAGAAAAGGAGTTATCCTGGAGTTTAATAGACGCTATTGATATTCTGGTAATACTAGGTAAGCCTTATCTATGCTCCATACTTCCATTTTAAGATTGATAGTTTTATAGAAATTATATTATAGGTGGAAATGAAGTAATTGGGAACAGAATTTCAGCTTATAGAAATACTTCTGGAGGACGACAGGATAGTTGGCAAAGTCTAACCAAAACTGAGAAACATTGTGTGTCTGATGAGTATGAGAAACTGTTTAACAATCTACCAGAGTTTGAGGACCCATGCATTGACCCATCCAGCATGTGTGAAGAGTTCTGTAAGAATATGGCACTAATGCAAAAACATGCAAAGGATGAGAAAATACAAAAGTTGTTGCGCTATGTCTCCCATCCAGCTAAATATTCTAAGAACAGCACCTGGACTGTGCCATTTTGTTTCACAGGAAATGAACAAGAGAAGTTTACACAATTGATAAAGAAACCAAATGTAAATACGGGATCTAATGAAACCAACTATGGATACAAATTCTGTGAATCTGTTGAACAACGTTTCACAGATGTAGGTTTATGTACAACTTTCCATGACACCAATGTGACCTATCCTCCTAAAGGAATTTCAAAGCCATTTCAAAAAGGAATCACTATGATTTTGGATTCTTTTGCATATTTTACCATTACCAGGGAAATGAGGACTTTCAGGGATTACTTTAAGGTAATTTAAACAAATAAAATTATGAACTGCCAACAAACTGAACTTTCATATTTCAGGAGTCTGAATTAAGCTTAATCTCCCCAGAAACTTTAACTGATAACAGCTATAATGATTTCTATGTATTTCTTCATTCCAAGGATGATATTCCGCTCTTTCAAGGACCTGAAGACAAAAGGATTTCATTGAGGAATGGAAAACATCAAACAACAGCCAACTATTTAAAAGAGTATAGGATTCCATTTACTGTAAAAATTACAGAAACAGAGAAGATCCTTGAAAAATACAGTATCACACAGCGTAAGTGTAGGTTTAAGCATGAACTTGGAGAAATGAAATTATTCCAAATATATTCCAAACAAAATTGTATCTTTGAATGTAAACTAGAGATGGTAAGGAAGATGTGTAACTGTTTACCCTGGTATCTGGACCTCAAGAACCAAACTGAACCTGTTTGTAACCTATTTGGGAATAAATGCTATGAACAGAGCACCATTCAAGCAAACCAACATCTTGACTTCAGCAATCCAAATAATCCACCGTGCGATTGCTTTCCAGACTGTGAGGTATCTAGAATCCAGTTCAAGAAAAGCAAAATTTGATTAAATTCATAAACTTCTAATCAAAAGATTTCATGTATTTTTAATATTTCCCAAAGAGCAGTAAACTGCATAACACAGTAAATAACAACATGGTTATGCATACTTTATAGTTGGGTTTAAAATCAAATCATCGAAAAAGAGAAATTTTCAAACTGGAAATGTTTCTTAAACCCAAAGTTGTATTTCAAGATTTTTAGCAAGATTTCAAAAACTTCATGTTGTTTAGAGTTTCCTGGATTTGAAACTTTACATACTTTGATACAAAGTAGTGAGAGCTCAAAAACTCACATAAAACTTACAAGCAGAATTTTCTAACTGGTTTTCATTTTTGTTTTTAAAATTTTCAAAAATGCACTAAATGAAAGAAAGGTTTTAAGTGTACTGGTGTTAGTCAGAAGAGCCACACCTAACATGAAAAGTGCTTATCTTGTACAGAATAAATGTAAAGTTTTCATTGTCAGGGTGTAAGCTATAATCCCTCCTCAGAGACAAGGACACCTACAGCTCTGGAGAACAGAAATATTCTTGATCTTGAATTACAATTAAGAAAAAGGGTTTGGGATGATGATGCAATGGTGATTGAGTTTAACAAAAAAAAATTCCTATTTGATTATGTTGCAGACATGCTGAAAGGTACTTTATGAAACTAAAATCCAATATGTACATTGTACAATAGTATTTTGTACTGTAAATGGATTGCTTAACTCCTTTAAATTACAAACAATACTCCAATTTTCTAAATTAAAACCACATCTTCCTTCTCAGAAGGACATAATTATCAATACTTTCTGTCAAAAAGCAATGTGTAATGTTCTGTTATCAGATACAGGTATACCATGTTTTTGGTTTCATCCTGCCCTTGAAACTTCTTGAATTTTAACCCTATCCCCGCTGGGGTACTTGAAAACCAGGATACGCTGGGGGGGGGGTCAATTTGACCCCCCCCTCTAAATCCCATGTTTTATGTCCAAATATGACAAATGATACATCATTAGAAAGCTCTTGTGCTCTACTTTTAGAATCTGCAAAAAAATTTGCAAATTTGCGAAAATTGAATTTTTTATTGCAAAATCCAGTTTTATAGTAAAAATGTTTGCAAAAAAAAATTTGTCCAAAAAATGACAAATTATACATTTTTGAAAAGCCCTTGACCATGCCATTTCAAATATGCAAAAAATTTTGCAAAATTTTAAATAACCTGATTTTTAATCAAGAAAAACTAAAAATGTGCAAATTTTCTTTGACAGGTTGTTTGCAAAAAATTTGCAATTTTTATTTCGCAAAACTTGGGCAATCCGTTTCCTTATGTCATAGGCTTTCCAAAAAGCTAAATTTTATCAAAATCTGACAAGTGAAAGTGGGTCAAAACAAAGATTTAGTTTGCTACAGGCAAAAGCAGTCATTCAGGCAGTGTGCCTGAGGACTCAGGCAGTTAGTATTAAAGCCCGGTTTTAGGCCTAAAGGGAGGGCTTTGGGTATGTAAGAAAAGTCAGAAAATTTCAACAGCCTCAGACCAATACTTTTTGAGTTATGTAAAAAAACTACAGGGGGCGGTCAAATTGATCCCCCCCCCCCAGCGGGAATAGGGTTAAGAACGCGTAATTTATAGGTTTTTTTTTGCTTTTCATTTATTTTTTGTTTTACAGCATAGGGTCAAGAACAGGATGGTTAAAAGGCTAGTTGGTGTTTTAAAAAAATCTCCAATAGCCCATAACTTTTTGGTTTTAAGCTACAAATCTAAAACTTACATATTTGAAAATGTCGAATATTAATATCAATTGGCTATCAAGAATATTAGATATGATTATAACACTACTATTTTGGAAAAGTTTTTGGAGCAAGGGGAAAATACATAATTTAAAAATTCATAGAGAAAGCTTTGTAAAGCATCATGTTATGAAATGTTATATGAAATGTGTGTATTTCTCTTGACGTAATGGCTATTTCTAGATTTAATGAACAGAAATTAAAAAAACAAAACTTAATTTAAATTTTATTTTCATTTTAATAGAATAAAGATTTCTAGAAATGTTTGAGTTTTTTTTAGAAAAAATTCCATCACCCATGAAACTATGGAACCATGTTATAATATACAGCTAATTTAACATTATAGCATGATAATTACTTTAAAGCAAGATTATAATAAAATTTACCATGAAGTGACTATGAGAGACAAAGTAAACAATAGATACCTAAAATTTATTATATGTTTAGAAGAAGGAGGCAAGATATTTTACAGATCTAACCTAACATCAGATATTGATAACATGGTAGACAAAAGACTTTGCACAGAAAGTCTCATAAACTGTCTCATCTGGCAGAGGGCTGTAAATCTTGCATCAGTTTGGTTGGATTTTGAGGACAACTATTTTGTCAAGTAAATCTCACTGATTATCTATTTTTTAACCTTTGAGGACCAAAAGGATTTTTTCTTTTTACTTCTATTTAAGGAAAAATATTTCTCATTATCTTAAAGTTGACAATCACAATTATGGTTTTTTATGAGATGGACTGAAGTTCTATAACTCAAATTTCTCCTAAGTTGACAGTTAAAAAACCACATTTTCTGAATTTTTGTAGTGGTTGAGTCTCTATTACAGAGAAAGAATTGTTTTAACTTGTATTAACAATTAAGATTAGCTCTCTCCATAAAAAAATTCCAGTTAGTGTTTGATAATTTTCAACCAATTAACCTGGATTTTTTCTTTTGAGTAGGTTTAATATATAATTTAGTAGCTGGCAACTAATTTATCCATTTTCAGGGAACATTTGATTGAAAGAGTTCCGATCGGAGACAAAATTTCATCCATTGGAAGAACACTTGGTAATCTTATCTAAATTAGCATTGAATAATTAATGCATATTTTTTCGTAGATAAATCGATTACTACAAATAGCAAAATTGTCTGTGGCAAAAAAAACAGCAATAATTCCATTGGAAAATTGGGTTTTAGTTACCACTAGAACATTTTAAACCTTTCTTCAATATTGGATAAAATCTTTTAAGTTATTATTTTTCAGGTTTGTTTCTGGGATTCTCGTTCTTGAGTATTGTTGATCTAGTTTACTGGGTTATCAAAACAGTTGAAGTACGGATGAGAAGGAGGAAACGGAAATAGAAAGGATGAGAAAGAGAAAAAAGAACGCTTGAAAAATATTCACCCCTAATGGTGATTTAGGTGTTCTTGTTTATTAGTCAGTAAGCATTTACAAACTGTAGATTTTTGGTTGGACTACACATTTTTAATAACAAACTCCATTATACTTTCTTCAATGACAGAAAGTTTATTTTGAAACAGCCTGGGCACACCTAGATGTTATAGTGACAAAGTCGACTTTGTGCAATAATTGCAATGTCCTAAATTGTAAGAATTTTCGTAAAATCTCTAGATGTTTTCTAAATGTAAACTTTTCTTCTAAAATAAATGTTTTTTTGTTGCTTTGTTTTTTTATCTTATTTCATGTTTTGATGGTATACTCAAATATTTTTTCGAGTAAATCACAGATGGTTTGATGTTTTGATGGACTCCTTGGTTCCAGAGAGACACATAGTTGAAAGTATGAATATATTTCAAACCTACAAAATACAGTTTTAATAATAACTAGCTGAAGGGCCCGGCATTGCCGATGGGAAAAAAAATTCAAGAAAAAAAAATTGGAAAAAAATTAAATAAACAAAAAATTTTGATTTTTTTAGCCATTGTAACCCCCTAGACTACCCATGAGTGTCCACAAGAAATGTTAACCAATCGGTTTAGCCATTCAGAACATATATACGAACGTCTTGTTTATTATATAGATAGATAAATAATAATGGTAAAACATTGTCTAATGATATTAATAGGAACTAGTAACTTACTAGAAGCGATTGTTTGGGTGATGAAGGAGTGATTTGATCTCAGAGGTAGATTATTGGGTCAGTTTAAAACATTTAGCTGTTACTTCTAAAATAAAACCTCATTTGTTCAACGGGAAATTGTTTGGGATTGCAGAATTATTCACAGATTGTATATTTTAAGTATACGTTTAAGTTAATACGTTTAGTGTTCAAAATGGTTGGTATTTTTGTCTCTGAAAGTAACAGAGGTAGGCCAGAGTACACTCTCTGTTATACACCTGGCCCGTTAGAAAGGTGAAGGATTAGAAGACAACATTATGCTTGGATACAGTGAGATACAGGTAGGGTTGTTAATCGTTTTTGAAAACGATCGTTTTTTGTTTCGTTTTCAGAAACGATCGTTTCGTTTTCGGAAAAAACGATCGTTTTTGTAAACGACCCACTTGTTTTGAACTTCTCGAAAACAAATAGCGATCGTTTTTGAAAACGATCATTTTTATTAAAACGATTTGCGACCGTTTTTTATACAATTGTTTTTAAAAAAACGATCGTTTTTGAAAAAATATTTTATTGACAATTATGTTAACGATCCTTAACAAAGGGTCGTCGTTAACGATCGTTAACGAAGGGTCGTCATTAACGATCGTTAACAAAAGGTCGTCGTTAACAATCCTTAACGAAGGGTTGTCGTTAACGAAACGACGAACTTTATCAAAATGGTCATTTTGGAAAAAAATTACTTGCAACTTTATTGAATGTCGTCGTACATGAAGTTTAACAGTTGTGGGAAAGTTAAAACTCCTTGATATATTCTTAAAAACTACTCAATAATAAGTACAGATGCCTGTCAGGTCGGTTTCCTCTCTTCGTTAACGATCGTTAACAAAGGTTCGTCGTTAACAATCATTAATGAAGGTCCGTCGTTAACGATCGTTAACAAAGGGTCGTCGTTAACGATCGTTAACAAAACGACGAATTTTATAAAAAATGAAAACGTTAACATCCCTAGATACAGGTTTATGTTCAATAATATTCTAAACAAATTGCAAATAAATACGAAAACCAAATGCATTATATTTTAACTTTTATACTTTTAACATGAATGTTAGTTCCAGCCGAAAAAAGAAGATCTCAAAGAATAAGGATATAGCCATCTTCTTCTTGAGTAAAATTTTCCTAAAAAGACGGTAGCTACCGAATTTTCATTTTATTATTTTCCGCTTATACTTAAATTGTTACCATTTAAAAGTGGTCAGAATAAAGGAAATATAAAGCCTGCAACTTATATGTAAGTAAGTTTACAGAGTATAGGAAAAAATATATTTAAATTATAAAAAAAGAACAAATAATTGTTGAAACTAATAATTCAAAGAAAGCAGAAGCTCTCAGGCACACCCTCCGCCTTTTGTCGGCCTCATTTGACAGGTTAATCTTCCTCCTTTTAATTCATCGTGACAAGTTAATGGGGACCTCAGCCATTTTATAGCGTATGGATCGGATATATATGGATCAGATAGCGTATGGATCAGATAGCGAATGGAACGGATAGCATATGGATCAGATAGCGTAAGGATTGGATAGCGTATGGATCAGATAGCGTATAGATCAGATAGCGTATGGATCAGATAGCATATGAATCAGATAGCGTATGGATT